CCACAAACCTTCAACACAGACAATCACTCACTACTTACATCACTGCCCAAGCTTGCATGTCCTCTCTCCAAACCTATCAAACCTCAAACCTAAGCTGCCTCCTTGGTGTAGTGGTTAAAGCGTCCGCCTGGAGAGCAGAAGGTCGCGGGTTCGATCCCCGGCTGCGTCATACCAAAAGACGTTAAAATATGGTACCAGTCCTTGTTGTACCCAGCTTTAATGGGTACAACAAGGACTGGTCGGCTCAGAGTCAGTATAATGTGTCTGAGTGGGGTATTCATGCTTAACTGTGGCATGGTATCTCAGTGGGCTAGCACTATAAAACCAGCTTTTGTCTGGGCTAGTACAAGCAGCTGCACATACACATACACACGTATGTTGTCGTATGAGCAAAATATTCTTAAGTGCGACGTCAAAACCCATTTCACCTGGCCTTCACCTCAAACCTAAAAACATACATTGTACCTATTGTGATCTTATGGAAAAGAATGTACAGATTGTGTTAGCTGACTGTAGATGTAGATGAAGGAAAGATTTAGGTGTTCCCTGATGTGTTGTTGATAGCATGATCCTTGTGTGTGCCAGGCTATCAAGCAGATGTACGTGCTGGTGCTGGGGCTGGACGTGCTAGGCAACCCCTTCGGCCTCCTCCGAGGGCTGTCCGAGGGAGCAGTGGATCTCTTCTATGAACCCTGTCAGGTAAGGCATCTTGTGTATCATATGTTGACCAGACTGAACGTCCAGTGAGCTATGTCCTGACCTGCTTGTCCAGTGTCAGCTTCTCCTCAGACACAACTATAAAGCTGAAACTTCACGTGCCTGTGCCCAACATAGATGACACCTGAATTTGTTCAAGAAATTCAAATATGATTTTCAATTTACTCAAGTGCAGCCAATTTCAGTTTGGTAGAAACAAATGTAAATTGCCTTTTTGTTATATGGAACTTTGTTGTGACATTTAAGAGGCTGTAGAATTTCATCTTGTTTTGTGAAAAGTGGAATGGCATATGTAGTGTGGTGTATATGATGTGTTGCAGGGAGCTATCCAAGGGCCCGAGGAGTTCGCTGAGGGCCTGGCGCTTGGTGTACGCAGTCTGTTCGGACATGCTGTTGGTGAGTCCTTCTGTCTCTACCAGACACGTATTCATGGGAAACATTTCTTTACCATGTCCTTGCATAAGGTGGTTGTACTTCAGATGGAACTGACACTCCGTGGTGTAGTTGTTAGAGCGTCCGCCCGGAGAGTGGAAGGTCGCGGGTTCGATCCCCGACCTCGTCATACCAAAAGACGTTAAAATATGGTACTTGTTGGTCCCTGCCTGGCGCTCGGCATTAATGGGTACAACAAGGACTGGTCGGCTCAGAGTCAGTATAATGTGTCTGAGTAGGGTATTCATGCTTCACTGCGGCATGGTATCTCAGTGAGCTAGCACTATAAAACCAGCTTAAGTCTGGGCTAGTACAAGCAGCCGCACATACACATACACATGCATGCACGTCGTCATATGAGCGAAATATTCTCAAGCACGACGTAAAACCCATTTCACCTCACCTCATGTCCAGCATCATGTTAACCACCAGATGAGTGTGTTGTACTTCATGATTTATTGACTGATTTGTGGGTAAATAATGTCAGCACAATCCTGTCAAGTTCGATAATACCTGGTTCATATTTAGCCTGCGATGGGTCTAATTCAAACTGCCCGTAGCTTATTTGCCGCACGATTCTACAGGCGCCCTAGCCTCTACGATTTTGTCAAACAGCAAAGTTTGCTTAGCTTACTCTCACAGTGGCATCTCGTTCAGTCAACGCACAATTTGTTTAGCTCCAAAAATGCACAGGTAAGATCTCTGCGCGATTTCTGTGCAGCCTCTATGCAGGTTTACCTCGTCCTGTCCCCAAGGAAATTACACGATGTCCATAGATAATGTGAACACAAACGTCGTAGCCCACAGTCACCCGACGATATGTAAAATTGTAGACTACTTTATTGTACGACCCCCGTGGCACATGTGATCCAGGTCTAAGCAGCCACTTGGGTCAGGTTGTTGCTGCAGAGACAGGTGTATCCAGGGATCTTGCTGTGTACAGTGTTGGTGTTTGGAGTTGCTGACGTTGGTGTTGCGTGTGTAGGTGGTGCGGCAGGAGCTGTGTCCCGGATCACAGGGACGCTGGGTAAGGGCGTTGCAGCCCTAACTCTGGATGACGACTACCAGAAGAAGAGGCGAGAGCAGCTCAACAAGCGACCAGCCAATGCCAGGGAGGGCTTTGCTCGTGGAGGGAAGGGCTTAGTTATGGTGAGTGCATTGATGTTACTTTAGATCCTGACAAACACGGGATAATGGTCCATATCTGTTAATGCTGTAATACATCCTCACATTATAAATAACATACTTAAGTAGGAAGCTGAGATGTCCTCAGATCTAGCAGTAGTGACAACTAAAGTACTCTCGGAAATGCTGGAAAAATGCTTTTTAACCTTAATACTTTGATAAAGGTGATAAATGTACTATGTTGTCAATATGTCAACTCTCCTATAGTGTACCTAATTTTTATTTCAATCAATTTAACATTTCCATGCATTTAAAGGGCAGTTTACAGGAGAGAATGTGGTACCAAAACAACAACTCAAGATTTGTTCAGAGTTTAACATGAGAAATCTGAAATAGTCTTTAACTTTATGCTAATAATACAGGTGGTGCAAAAATATAAAATAATGTTTTTCTTAAACAAATAAAAAGTTGAATGTTTGTGTTACTTGACTTAATTATCGTTTCTTCATTGAAGAAAAATTAATATAAATGTTAAGTCTTAATTAGTTTCCCATCATGCATGCACATCTTTATCACAGCGTCCACTATGGCCAATGATTTTCAATCAATTGTTGCAAAGGTTTATAAGTTTTTTTGTGCTTGAGAAAGACGAGGTAAACCTTTCATTAGTTTAGAAAGGGTTTATTACAGAACCTGTAGATCTGTTGGTATGTCTTACCAACAAGTTTACAATATTGTAAACAAATCAGACAAGACAGGGACCGTCTCAAAAGCAAAACTGGGAAGCTATACCAGTGACTTCGTTAAATCTTTTGCCAGTGTTCACAACTGGATTAAATTGACCGAATTACATCCATATTTTTGCAAAGAAATATACTATTGACATGCAAAACATTTATTAAAACGTTGCACATTTCTACAATCAATCAATAAAATAACACAAGTGATGGGATTCTTTCTCATGCACAATAATTTGTATGTTTATTTCAACACACACACACACACACACACACACACACACACACATATATATATATATGTTGTTGGTGTGCAAAATGTGGATATCACATGATCCCTTAATTACATAACCAATACGTATACTATATGTACACATATTCAACATTATGAAGAAAAAAATGTATTGAGATGACCCCTCACCTGAGCTTGTGCTCAGGTGTCAATTTCACCTGTCAATACAGTGCATGCTGATGACATAACACAGGCAGTTAACGTTCCACTACCCCTTATTTTTATAAGTTTTTTATCTTTTCATATGTAAAAACACATTTTAGGGCATGTCTCAAAATTTATTCCCTCGGTCTACATTACAGTCCGATTTGACTCAAAAGCGGACCGATGAATTGCAATCTGACTCGAAAACTAATAAACATAACATACTCAATGAAACGCTGATCATAATCAAAACATCATACCCACTCTGTGAGGGTTTTGCAAGATTTTTGTCCCAAAAATAAAAAAGTTGTTTAACAATCTATCATTAAAATATTGACACAGTTCACTGTTTGTTACGAGGGAGGAGTGCAGAGAAAGGGACAGCCAGGTGTGCGAGAAAGGATGGAGACGGCACAGCACAGGTTAATGAATCAATACCTTTGTCGGCACTTGTGCACGTGCTTCTCTAACACCTGGCTGTCATTTTTCTAGCATTTCCGACAGTACTTTAGGATTTAATGAACTTGGTGTTGGTGTATCTGACATGCTATTCTGTGTGTATCTGTGCAGGGTGTATTTGACGGTGTGACCGGCATTGTCAGGAAACCTCTCGAGGGTGCTCAAGAAGAGGGAGCCAAGGGCTTCTTTAAAGGTAACTACACCATACATTAGATGCAGCATGGACGGTAGGAGACATCAATGTCCGTGCAGTAGAACACAGCTGAGCGATAAGTGTGGCTTAATATAAGAAAATCATTCATTTAGCAGCTAGTATAGAGGCTAGTTAATGGGTTGTGTGAAGACTACAGCTGTGTTGATTAAAGAATATGGCTGTTTGCAGGTATTGGCAAGGGCCTGGTTGGGGTTGTGACAAGACCAACAAGTGGAGTCATTGATTTCGCCAGCAGTTCATTTGAGGGAATCAGAAGGTAATGTACTGGAATGAAAGTGAAATGACACAAGTGTGTAAATATGATAAGGCAGTGTGTTAGTATAAATATAAAGCACGTTAGTTTAAGCTTATATGAAACTCATTTCAGTGTTACAGCAGTGCTCAACCCGTGAAGGTCCGGGTTAGAATGAACCTTCAGTAAACCATGCTTGCCGTAAGAGGCGACTAACGGGATTGGGTGGTCAGGCTCACTGACTTGGTTGACACATGTCTTTGGTTCCCAATTGCCCATGCTGTTGATCACTGGATGGTCTGGTCCAGACTTGATTATTTACAGACCACCGCCATATAGCTGGAATATTGCTGAGTGCGGCGTAAAATTAAACTCACTCACTCACTACAGTAGTACTCAAGTATTTAATGCTTCAGTGGTTATGCCTTTGTTATGAGGTCCACTAATCAGTGCTGTTGGTCTCCAGGATTGCTGAAATGTCTGATGAGGTACGCCGACTTCGCCCACCCCGCCGCTTCCACAGCGACAAGGTGATCCGCCCGTACAACCACCAGGAGGCAGAGGGCTACGCCATCCTGCAGGTACTCACAGCTTGTAATCCTGACACATTGTTGTCATGTTTTCATTCTGTTTGCTCAGATGCTGCTTTTCTTTACAAAGACTAAACGTTTAAACTGTGAACTGGCTGAGTATCAGCCCAACTGGGTGAGTGAGTGAGTTAGACAGAGGCCACTGACTTCCATGTTATACCTACAGTGAAGGTCACAGCTCCAACACTGGGAGGGCTGTACTTCCCCACTCTCCGTCAGTGACGGTCACAGCTCCAACACTGGGAGGGCTGTACTTCCCCACTCTCCGTCAGTGAAGGTCACAGCTCCAACACTGGGAGGGAGGGCTGTCCCACTCTACTTCCCCTCCGCCAGTGACGGTCACAGCTCCAACACTGGGAGGGCAGTACTTCCCCACTCTCCGTCAGTGAAGGTCACAGCTCCAACACTGGGAGGGCTGTACTTCCCCACTCTCCGTCAGTGACGGTCACAGCTCCAACACTGGGAGGGCTGTACTTCCCCACTCTCCGTCAGTGACGGTCACAGCTCCAACACTGGGAGGGCTGTACTTCCCCACTCTCCGTCAGTGACGGTCACAGCTCCAACACTGGGAGGGCAGTACTTCCCCAGTCTCCGTCAGTGCTGATCTGGTCACTTGTTTATGAGAGCATCTGGAATCTTCCCATCGGTGCTGATCTAATCAGTTAACATGTATATCAATTATTGATTTTCTTGTGAAGAAGGAACCTTCCTGACTGTCTGTCTTTGAGAATTAAATACGCACACATCACTGATAATGGACAAATCTGGTGATTTTGACTGTGGTTATTTTTCACGATATGATCACTAATGCCATGGTTCTTTGTGTTTCAGGAAACCGAGAAGGGGAAATATGCTGCCGCAGACGAGTACATGGCCCACGTCGTCATCAGTAAAGATGGGAAGCTTGTGTTCCTGGTACTGGACAAGTAAGTGGTTACTTGGAGCATCGCTGTTTCCGCTACTGACAGGTGTAATGACGCTACTGCTTGTTGTAATGGTTGTTTTCATTGCTATCTCAGCTACTGACAGATGTCTGCTTGTTGTAATGATTGCTTTTGTTGCTGTTATTTTAAATGGTATCTAAATAGTTGAGTAAAGGTTCAGACAAATTAAAAAATTCTTGCCTGTTTTTATGGTTTACATTTCTAAATTATTCATGAGAAGACTAGAGCTGAATTTAGCAAGTTACGGATCCTTGTCTGTGTGTTTGTAGGCGAATTCTACTTGCTAAGAGAGGTGAGATCTTCGGTTCCTGGGACTGTGAATGGACGTACACATGGCCTGATCTGAAGGAGGGGCCCAAGAAGACTGCACGAGGCATCGATATCATCCTGAAGGTGGGTGTACATCACTGGTTTTAGTGGACAGCAGCTTCTTATAACCTGACATGAGATCTTTGTGTTTTAAACCAGAATTCTGTCTTGTTTCATCTGTTTGATGTTGAACATTCATCTGTGGGAGGCTACACAAGGGTCTATTACGCCTTCATCAACTAAGAAAACAAGTCATTCAGTCATTCTCGTCATTTGTCAGTCAGATGCCTGTGTAACCTGCATGGTGGCAACACAGCTGTACTTATTGTTCCAGGTAACAGGACAAGGGATATCTATATGTCCCTCTAGCTTCTGACCAAAGTTCATAACATATATCTGACATCATATGCTATAACAGAGAACAGGAATATGTTGTGGTGAGAGTCTCATGTCATATTTGTGGTTGAGAAACTGAGATCTATGCCTAAGATGTGTGGGATAGATTGTAGACTGAGATCTATGGTATAGATTGAAGACTGAGATCCATTGTATAGATTGTAGACTGAGATCTATGGTATAGATTGTAGACTGAGATCTATGGTATAGATTAGGAGACTGAGATCTATGGTATAGTAGGGAGACTGAGATCTGTGGTATAGATGGGACACTGAGATCTATGGTATAGATAGGGAGACTGAGATCTGTGGTATAGATGGGAGACTGAGATCTGTGGTATAGATGGGAGACTGAGATCTGTGGTATAGATGGGAGACTGAGATCTATGGTATAGATGGGAGACTGAGATCTATGGTATAGATGGGAGACTGAGATCTGTGGTATAGATGGGAGACTGAGATCTATGGTATAGATGGGAGACTGAGATCTATGGTATAGATAGGAGACTGAGATCTATGGTATAGATGGGAGACTGAGATCTATGGTATAGATGGGAGACTGAGATCTATGGTATAGATAGGAGACTGAGATCCATGGTATAGATTGTAGACAGATCTGTGGTATAGATAGGACACTGAGATCTTTGGTATAGATGGGAGACTGAGATCTGTGGTATAGATGGGACACTGAGATCTGTGGTATAGATGGGACACTGAGATCTATGGGGAGACTGAGATCTGTGGTATAGATGTATATATAGAGTTACGGGTATGTTATGTGTGTTTGTTTATTTGTAGGAAAAGGAGAAGAAGAAGTTTTTCGGCAGCAGTTCCTCCAAGAAGGAAGTGCCTATTGCTGACCCTGCCACTGTTGAGGTAACTTAAGGGGGTTAACAGTGATCACAGGGAAGCTGTAAACTATGTACATCCAGAAGGGAATGTTGGTGAGGTGTCTATCTAACACCGTAGGAACAATACATTGTGTATTATTACTTCACTCGGTAGGAAGGGGCGGTGGGGTAGCCTAATGCTCAAAGCGTTCGCTCATCACGTCGAAGGCCCTGGTCGAAGGCCCATTTCTGGTGTTCCCTGCTGTGATATTGCTGGAATATTGCTAAAAGCGGCAAAAAACTCACTCACTCGTTTCAGCGGTTTCACTATGAAATATGGCATCACATCCTACCTACAAATTCAAATCTGAATGAAAGTGATGTATGGAAAGTGACTTGATCACGCCAACATTTACCCCCCTCTACCACAAGTATGTAATATGTGCAACTGGGAAATGAACATGCAACAGAATTAAAAGGTTAAAAGCATAAGTAAAGGATTACAAGTAACATACAACCAGTCTCATGTCACGAGTGAACTTCAAACTAAACAAGGTCTGCCTGACTCAGGTATGTGTTGCCTGGTCACTGTTGCCTAGGTTACTGTGTCCAGATGATGCTGATGGATTCATTGTTTGTGTTCCAGCGAATCATCACAAAGATTGAAGAGGCTATGGCCAGATTCAAGTAATGGACATTGGAGCCCTCCTGCCTCCAGGTCGGGTACATCCAGGCTGGCCAGGCGGCCATTACACTCATCAATGTCTTCATCAAGTGCTGACTGACCTCTGTGTCTGGAAGGTTGTGTCTACGTATCCATGACAACAGGGACGGAGATGATCATGTGAAATCCATGTGATGAAACAAAAATAGGAAGAATTGACGTCTTCATGGTTTGGTCCCACTTTGATTACAGAATATATATATATATATATATATATCAATAAATTATACTGACACATCAGGGTAATGCTAATCCCTAGTGCTATCTAGTTCTGCTGAGTCGTGCTAATTACCCCTTGTTTGAGCCAGCCTAGCTTGTCGGCCCCATCCTCCTGTTGTAATGGGATATCAGTGAAGGTTATGGAAGCCTAGCTTGTCTGCCCCATCCTCCTGTTGTAATGGGATATCAGTGAAGGTTATGGAAGCCAGGAATGTTTCAGTTGGTGGTTGTTTCTGACTTCAGCAGTCAGGGAGTCAGACTGCTAGCCATTGTTCAGTTGCAGTGTTAGGGACACACGCTAGCATGTGTTGTAGAATATTCCTGTGGTAACCCCGACAGTGCCCAGTGTTAGGTGGACAACTTGCACATCAACTGACGTTGCCTGTCTTTTTAACTTACAACACTGTTAAATAATATAATGTATATTGCATTGATTGAATGTAGTGGACATGATTCAATAGTTGATATCATATACCTGTGTTATTGCCTTATATAACCACCCCAGCAATAGCGTGTTGTGCTGTATCTCCCTGTGTTCTGCTTCACCGATGGTGCTATTTGTTTGCTTGTCTCCGTTCTAGTCTGTACCAGGGTCACATACTGTCATATCTCCATACCAACTCTGCTGTCATTTATTCCGCGGTTTATTGTGTGACAAGCAGTTTCAGGCATGTATCAAATATATGTTCTTCTATTTGGGGTGTTAATAATTTAGTAAATATTTGTACATGAGTGATAATGTACACAAAATATTATATGGCCATGTTAATGATTTTGCTGATATTTGTCAATATGCAAGCTGCTGAACACTGGCTGGCCTGGGAACCAGTGTGAGGTTCCATGTTCCACCCAATTGTTCCACCATCAGTATTTCCGAGGGTATCTGGGAGCCTTGATAGGCTGGCTGTAGCAGCCTGATTCACCAGTGTTGTGGGGGGGTAGGTCACAGCTCGGTTCTGGGAGAGCCTGCACCAAGTGTAGCTATGCAGACCAAGCAGTGCCCAGACTGTTGTGTGTGTGTGTGTGTGTCGTCTTCTACTCTCTGTATTCGTGGCAGGGTATTAGCTGAAGAACATCCAAACACTGTCTATACACTGTGATGTTATTTAATTTCTTTTGATATAATCCAAGTTTTATGACTTTTGTTGTACGATTCTGTATATTTTAGTGTAACTGGTTTCTGGAGTTTTATTTTCCTTTGTTGTGATTTTATAGTTCGATGCTTTTGAAGGCAGCATATTTCCAGACACTGTGTGAGGCCCCTGCTTGTGTGTGACATGGTAGGCTCCTGTTCCAGTCTGTATTTCAGCTACAGGAGACAGTGGTACAGCTGCATGTTTCTCCAAGCCTGTCATATACTCGATACAAGTATTATTTTTTGTTTTGAAAGATTATTTTATGGGTAAGGTTCAATATCATAATGCAACAATATGCTTCCAATTTGCAGACATGGGATAGTTCTTGTTTCTAAAATGGATGATGAAATGCCAATCTGCTATGCTTTCTGAAATTGTTTTTTTCCCTCCTTTTATTTGTTGTTTTATTTTATAGGCTTTAATGGTTTCCAGTTTTAAATGTGTGGGGAGGATGCTTCCTTTAGGCAAAAGCTTACCTTGTGTCAGTTGATCTCATTTCTAGCTGTCACAAATATGGACCCAGCTCGTCCCCTTCATGTGAATGTTCATTTCCTTACCTCTCTGTGGCTTCCCAGGGAGTAAGCCCGTTTTAGTCTAGTCAAGGTATTTACCACGTCAGCGTCTGCTGCCTGCAGCATGCCTTAAAGTTCAACTTAAGATTGCATATTTCTTCATATCGCCTAAAGGGATTTCTGAGTAATACCTTGTCTTTCAACTTTCCTGTAAACTTTTCTATTTTTTCTATGTGTAGTAACTTACAAATGAGTGTGAGCTTGTATTGCGTGTTGCCCCGAACACAGTTGGCTCCATAGTGCTGTCTGCTGCAGCACTAGCCCTGTGGCTCTGTTCGGGCAACATCATAGTCTGTACTAACTTGCTGTATTATGTGAAGCATCTTACTGTAGAGTAGGCGGCTGTGTGGGGACAGGGAGACACCTGGTGGCGGTGGCTGTAGTGGACTGTAGTAGACGCTTGGGAGACAACCCATGGTGTCATCACACACACCTGACCGTGCAATGTGTAGTAGGTAGTAGAATGAATGTATTTTAATTGATGCCAGCCATTTTGAATAAAACTGTAAAATGTGATGTTGTTTCGTTTTGTAGATCTATATTACAAGGGGAACATGGCTAGGAGCATGTATGATACAGGTGTCAGAAACATGTTTCACTGTCTTAACGTCTAACGAGTTACAGCACCTGTAAGATTGTAAGAAAACTGTAAGGAACATGAACTCCTACACAGACACTGGAAACAGTGTAACACAAGAGTGAACAATAACATGCATACTACCACTGAACACACAAACCTGCATTGTTACAGTGCCACACCGAACACAAACCTGCATTGTTTCAGTGCCACACCGAACACAAACCTGGATTGTTTCAGTGCCACAAAGAACACACAAACCTGTATTGCATTAGTGCCTCAAGGAACACACAAACTGTCATTGTTTCATTGTTACAAGGAACACACAAACTGTCATTGTTTCATTGTTACAAGGAACACAAACCTGAATTGTTTCAGTGCCTCAAGGAACACAAACCTGCATTGTTTCATTTTTGCAAGGAGCACACAAACCTGCATTGTTTCAACACCACAAGGAACACAAACCTGTATTGTTACAATACCACTAGGGGCGGTGGGGTAGCCTAATGGTTAAAGCTTTGGCTCGTCACGCCGAAGACCCGGGTTCGAATCCCCACATGGGTACAATGAGTGAAGCCCATTTCTGGTGTCCCCCGCCGTGATGTTGCTGGAATATTGCTAAAAGCGGCGTAAAACCAAACTCAGTCAGTACAATACCACTAAGAACTCACAAACCTGCATTGTTTCAACACCACAAGGAACAGAAACCTGCATTGTTTCAGCACCACAAGGAACACAAACCTGTAATGTTTCAGCACCACAAGGAACACAAACCTGTAATGTTACAATACCACAAGGAATTCACAAACCTGCATTGTTTCAGCACCACAAGGAAGTCACAAACCTGTATTGTTACAATACCACTAAGAACTCACAAACCTGCATTGTTTCAGCACCACAAGGAACACAAACCTGTATTGTTACAATACCACAAGGAAGTCACAAACCTGCATTGTTTCAGCACCACAAGGAACACAAACCTGCATTGTTTCGGCACCACAAGGAACACAAACCTGTAATGTTACAATACCACAAGGAACTCACAAACCTGCATTGTTTCAACACCACAAGGAACACAAACCTGCATTGTTTCAGCACCACAAGGAACACAAACCTGTATTGTTACAATACCACTAAGAACTCACAAACCTGCATTGTTTCAGCACCACAAGGAACACAAACCTGCATTGTTTCAGCACCACAAGGAACACAAACCTGTAATGTTACAATACCACAAGGAACTCACAAACCTGCATTGTTTCAACACCACAAGGAACACAAACCTGCATTGTTTCAGCACCACAGGGAACACAAACCTGTATTTTTACAATACCACTAAGAACTCACAAACCTGCATTGTTTCAACACCACAAGGAACACAAACCTGCATTGTTTCAGCACCACAAGGAACAGAAACCTGTATTGTTACAATACCACTAAGAACTCACAAAGCTGTAATGTTACAATACCACAAGGAACACAAACCTGTATTGTTACAATACCACAAGAAAGTCACAAACATGCATTGTTTCAGCACCACAAGGAAGTCACAAACCTGCATTGTTTCGGCACCACAAGGAACTCAAACCTGCATTGTTTCAGCACCACAAGGAACTCAAACCTGTAATGTTACAATACCACAAGGAACTCACAAACCTGCATTGTTTCATTGTTACAAGGAACACACAATTGCATTGTTACAGTGCCTCAAGGAACACAAACCTGCATTGTTTCATTTTTGCAAGGAGCACACAAACCTGCATTGTTTCAGCACCACAAGGAACACAAACTTGCATTGTTTCAACACCACAAGGAACACAAACCTGCATTGTTTCAGCACCACAAGGAACACAAACCTGCATTGTTTCAGCACCACAAGGAACACAAACTTGCATTGTTTCAACACCACAAGGAACACAAACCTGCATTGTTTCAGCACCACAAGGAACACAAACCTGTATTGTTACAATACCACAAGGAAGTCACAAACCTGCATTGTTTCAGCACCACAAGGAACACAAACCTGCATTGTTTCAGCACCACAAGGAACACAAACTTGCATTGTTTCAACACCACAAGGAACACAAACCTGCATTGTTTCAGCACCACAAGGAACACAAACCTGTATTGTTACAATACCACAAGGAAGTCACAAACCTGCATTGTTTCAGCACCACAAGGAACACAAACCTGCATTGTTTCAGCACCACAAGGAACTCAAACCTGTAATGTTACAATACCACAAGGAACACACAAACCTGCATTGTTTCAGCAGTACAAGGAACTCACAAGCCTGCATTGTTTCAGTGTTACAAGGAACTCACAAGCCTGCATTGTTTCAGTGTTACAAGGAACACACAAACCTGCATTATTTGAGCGTCAAAAAAAGAGACACAAACCTGCATTCTTTCAGCAGTACAAGGAACTCACAAACATATATTGTTTCAGTGTTACAAGGAACTCACAAACATGCATTGGTTCAGTGTTACAAGGAACACACAAACCTGCATTGTTTCAGCGCCAAAAAAAGAGACACAAACCTGCATTGTTTCAGCAGTACAAGGAACTCACAAACATATATTGTTTCAGTGTTACAAGGAACACACAAACATGCATTGTTTCAGTGTTACAAGGAACACACAAACCTGCATTGTTTCAGCGCCATAGAACACACACAAACATGCATTGTTTCAGCAGTACAAGGAATTCACAAACATGCATTGTTTCAGTGTTACAAGGAACACACAAACCTGCATTGTTTCAGCACCACAGAACACACACAAACATGCATTCTTTCAGCAGTAAAAGGAACTCACACACATGCATTGTTTCAATGTTACAAGGAACTCACAAACATGCATTGTTTCAATGTTACAAGGAACTCACAAGCCTGCATTGTTTCAATGTTACAAGGAACACACAAACCTGCATTGTTTCAATGTTACAAGGCACTCACAAACATGCATTCTTTCAGCAGTACAAGGAACTCACAAGCCTGCATTGTTTCAGTGTTACAAGGAACTCACAAGCCTGCATTGTTTCAGTGTTACAAGGAACACACAAACCTGCATTATTTCAGCGTCAAAAAAAGAGACACAAACCTGCATTCTTTCAGCAGTACAAGGAACTCACAAACATATATTGTTTCAGTGTTACAAGGAACTCACAAACATGCATTGTTTCAGTGTTACAAGGAACACACAAACATGCATTGTTTCAGTGTTACAAGGAACACAAACTTGCATTGTTTCAATGTTACAAGGTACTCACAAACATGCATTGTTTCAGCACCACAAAAACACAAACCTGCATTGTTTCAGTGTTACAAGGAACTCACAAGCCTGCATTGTTTCAGTGTTACAAGGAACACACAAACATGCATTGTTTCAGTGTTACAAGGAACACACAAACATGCATTGTTTCAGTGTTACAAGGAACTCACAAGCCTGCATTGTTTCAGTGTTACAAGGAACACACAAACATGCATTGTTTCAGTGTTACAAGGAACACACAAACATGCATTGTTTCAGTGTTACAAGGAACTCAGAAATCTGCATTGTTTCAGCACCACAAAAACACAAACATGCATTGTTTCAGCAGTACAAGGAACACACAAACCTGTATTGTTTCAGCACCACAAAAAAACACAAACATGCATTGTTTCAGCGCCACTAGGAACACCGGAACATGCATCGTTTCAGCAGTACAAGAAACACGTAAACGTGCATTGTTTCAGTGTTAGAAGAACAAGCCTGCATTGTTTCACTGTTTCTGCGGCTCGTTTTAGTTAAAATACAGACTCGCGCCAACCATTTGAGCGACATGTTCAAATTCCATGTAAAATAACAACAATAAACTAAACACTATTAACACTATTTTATTATGTAATTTATTAAATTTTTATTTTTCGACCCTTTTTTGACCTTTTTGACTTTTGATTTCGGCCCATTTGATTTTTTTTCGGCCCTTTTGTCCTTCGGCCCATTTGACTACAACCCTTCCCAGTCACCACTGACTCGTCATTGGCATTCTGTTTAACTTAAACTTTGTAGATGTTCATCATTGAAAACGTCAAAACAAAAAGAATACAAGTCCCGAAAATTTGTCCAAACAACTGTGTATGCAAGAAACGCCATAGAAAAATGAACGTCATGTATTGGTTAAAAGACCAACTACTCTACTTGTAACAGCGGTATCACGTCATGATTTGAAAACAGACGAATACTTGTAAGGGGTTCAGGGATTTATTGTCTTGGATGATGGATCAGGTGATAAAACCCTCGTCTCAGGGACGCAGGTGATCCACAGTCTACCGGTAAACCACCAGTGGCAAATTAGTGCTTCAAAGACCTAATGCAATAACATAATTAAATACAATCTATATTACACACACGCACACACACACTCTTTCTCATGTCATCCATAATATGTACCTAATCTACAATGTAACACTATTGTCTACATTAACCAAACGTGTAATAATCATAATACATAACAGTGTGTCATGATATTAAGCATATAAAATATTTACATCATATCATCATGTAGATGATATTACAGCACATAATATATTTCAGACATGTGATTAAAATGATAAACTAACTATAGTCCGTTTGGATCAAAAGCGGACCGATGAATTACAATCTGACTCGAGTGAGTACACATACACATGCATGAACGTCGTCATATGAGCGAAATATTCTCAAGCATGACGTTAAACCCAATTTCACCTCACCTCACTATTTGTTACGAGGGACGACTGCAAAGAGAGGAACAGCCAGGTGTACGCCGACAAAGTCATTGATTCATTTACCTAGCTGTGCCGTCTCCATCCTTTCTCGCACACCTGACTGTCCCTTTCTCTGCACTCCTCCCTCGTAACAAATAGTGAACTGTGTCAATATTTAAATGATAATTTGTTAAAAAACTTGTTCATTTT